ACGCGTAATAAATCCTTTATTAATACCTTTTAATAGCTTTAAGCTATATATCCCTTATTTTTAATAGCTTTATTACGCGTTATAATTATAAGAGGTGTTTTCTTACTCTTTTAAATAATAGTAAATATTATAATTATAAGAGTAACTTTTACGTAATTTATAAGGTTTATAAGCTTTTAATTATACTTCTTATAAAATACTTAAAATATATATTTACGTAAGTTACTTAATTTATTTTAAATCAAGGTTTTATTAAAGAAAATAACTTATATATATAAGTAAATTATTTATATTAATAACTTTAAAGCTATATACCTTAATTAATTCTTAAATTTTAATCTTTTAATAATTTATAAATTATAATTAAGTATAAGTATTATCTTTTAATAGTTTTAATTACTTAATTATAAGCTATTTACGCTTAAAATACGTTTATAAAAGCTAATAATTTATTTAATATAAGATTTAAGTATATATTAAGCTAATTAAGGTATTATAGGTAATATTACGTTTATAAAGAGCTAAACGTATAATATATCTCTTTTTTATTATTATAAGCTTTTTTAAATACCCTTTTTATAGCTTTAAAGTAAGTATATAGCTTTTAATTTACTTCTTCTTTATAGCTTTAATTATTAAAGATATTATATTAAACTTACGTGTAATAACTTTAATAGCTTTATTAGTATTTAGCTTAGCTATTATTATAGCTTTAACTTTTATATTAAATTAATAGTCTTTTTAATAATTAACGTATAATTTAGCGCTAAAATTACGCGTTTTTAATATCTTTTATAATAATTATAGCTGTTTAAAAATAATGTTAAACGCGTTTTATAGTGTTATGGGGATATGGGCCGGGGGGCGCAGACTTTTGGTACCTAGGTAGGTACCTGGCATATGGTAAGCACCCTGCGACGTGCTTATGTAATAAACATCTACGTCCCTGATGTGTACGTCGGCCACCCTTGGCGATGATCATGTGTTGTCATATGTTTGTAAAACGCCTCCACGACAGCAGGAAGTCCCAGGTGAGGCATGCAATTTTCCATTTTGCGCATTAAATGCATTATACTATGCAGACCTCTAGTTGAGTTCGTCAAAACTACGCATTCGATCTCGCGATCACCCCTCAGTAGCCGCCAGAGTTGAGCAAGACGAATTTCCGGCCGACGCTTTTAGCACGCCGGCACGTCGCCTTAATGCCATCACCTGAACAAAATGCATACCCGAACGATCCAATTCATGCACTTCCACTTGCTGCTGCGACGGCCTCTATGAAGCCGACAAGAGCTAGGATCTCAACATCCTCTGTCGAAAGACTTCCTCCATCTCCTTCAGACTCTAGTTTACCTTTCAGGATGTCCAATCCTTCTGCAGCCTCCTTATATGCCTCAACATTATCCCCTCCCAGCTCTAGGCCAATGTCACCAGCTATACAAGGCTCTTCGGGGGGTACGACAATTTCAGAACCAGTATTCGATGCTTATCCCGGACGCGGCATATCAGACTCAGCCTTCGACAAGCCAGGAGAACCCGTGCATGAAATTATTCAAGCTTTCGTCCCAAACGTATCGGTATACGCCTCTGAAGATACAGAAATCCTGATCAAGGAGAAGGGCTTTCGCAATGGCCTCTGGGAGTTGTTACGGCCTTTTGGCGAGAAAATTCAAGGCAGCGTTACAGTACGAGATAGTCAAGGAATGAGCCGTGTATTTGAGGACTTTGCTATCCGATTCACAAAATTGGGTGAGAATATTCAGAATTTAGGTTCAACCATTTCGAAGTCTCAGCCGACATTGGTCAATACCGATCCAAAAAGTGCCCAAGAAAGCACGGAAAGTGACAAGGTTGCTCTTGCTCAGATTGAGAGCGTCGTTGATCGGCACTTATCCTTTGCTGAAGGTTCGATTCTTAGGCCGCCCTCACCAGCACTAGACGCTTTACGGCAAGGTCTAGATCGTGATTCTGCATCACCATACTATTCTCTGTATTTGAGGCGCTTATTGTCCGGCACGCCGATTACACCTCACGAAACCTTCGCGCATCCTGTGGCCTGCGTCATAGCTATCAGCTCTCGAAATGGCGCACCTATTGAAGAATTGAGAAAACTGTACTCTGAGAGTAATCAGGGCAGCAGAAAGCTGCCTCTTTGGGCGGACAACGACTATCTTAGATATTATGTCCTTGTTCACGATGAAGAAAATGATGACATCACCCGATCAATGGGCTTCTTTGAGCAGATGAAGCGCCACCTAGGTCTGCATTGCCACCTTCTCCGATTGCGATGTAGTAAAAGCGCGGAAACAGACGACGACAGCATACCACTGCCATGCAGTGATTGGATGCCCGCTGCCGAGGAGCTGGCTAGGATTCACAGGAGCGAGGATGGAGAGGATTTTGAAGATCCCACGCAGTATATATTCGAATCTGATGCAACGGCAATACGAACATTTGTTCGAGAAATGGTTAGACAATCAGTTATTCCCACGATGGAACGGCATATCTCAGTGTGGAACGACCAAGTTGCATCACGCCGAAGAGGTATCGCAGGTCGTTTCATAAATCTATCTCGGAAATGGACAGGATTTGGAAGCACCTCCAGATCTTCCTCAAGTGGGGGCCCCTACTCAAGGGATAACTATGATCATTTAGGGTATTACCGCGCTGATTCGGCCGAGGCTATCATTCGAAAGCTTGCTGATTTCGCTTTCATGTTGCGTGACTGGAAGTTGGCTCATTCAACATATGAACTCTTGCGGTCGGATTTTAGTGAGGCAAAGGCTTGGAAATATCATGCGGCTGCGAATGAAATGGCGGCACTTAGCTCACTGATGGCACCGCAAAACTCGGCTTCCAAGACACGTGCAGATTCAATCGATCAAATGCTCGAGTCGGCATTTTACTCATATAACACCAGATGTAGTGCGCCATTTGGTGCCATTCGGTGTTTGCTCCTTGGCTTGGAGTTGTTGAGGACAAAGGGGGGTGCGTATGTCGATGATGCCAGCAGATGGGGTCTTCGGTTGCTTGAAGCCAGGATTCTAGGGCCAGTTGGCGATGCTTTACTAAAAGAGCGCCTCTGTATTTGCTACTTGTCTAAA